TTGCCATTGTCTGGGATTAAGCTCTTGGACCTAAACTTTAGTAACACATGCCTATCCACTCGTTTCTCCTCTTCCCAGTGCACACCTGCCCCAGACTGCCCTCCTTTATGTCCACAGTTAGGAGATTCTCATTGCAAGCGATTCTACTTTCAAAATCTTGAACCCAGCTGTCTGAAACTAGCCCAAACAGGTCCTTGCCATCACTTCTCTGTTTTTGCTCACATAATTCCTTTTTCTTCGGCTGCCTAGATGTCAACTTTGACTTTTTTTTCTCCCAGAAGACTTTCCCACGTCTCCTGAAATTATTCTCTCTTCCAGCCTCTATCTTATCTGAATCTTTATTTGCATTTCTAATGCTAACACCTAATTCAGGCCCTTATCGCTCACACCTGGACCACTGCAATAGCCTCCTTACTGATTTGTCAAAATCAACACACGTCAAACTGGCTTTGTTTCTCCTCCAATAGGAGGGTCAGTTTGTTCCAACACCAGATTCTCCTCTCAAAGCTGCCTCTTTGTGTGATTACTTTCCAGAATTTTGTTTTCCCATGTAAAGCCTCAATGCCCTAGCTCAATGAGTGGGAGGGGGCCAGGCCTGGAGAAATTGCTGTCTCTCAGCACGTGTCTTTTATATAGTAGGCGCTCAATGAATACTTGTGGAAATATTCGTAAACAGCAGCAGAATTGTGACCATGCAGATTTCAGGTAAGTCTGTTTTGTAAAGATATACTTACTTACCCATTTGGCATAGCTAAATGTAATTTAATCTGCATATCATTTGTGCAGGTAAAAATTCTCCTAATAAAAATTCAGCCCAATTTGTTTCCTGATTTTCAGTTCTGCAAATGTAGCCATATGTGTGATTGAGACAAATTCAGTGTAGGTATAAACCTGAATTTGCACATAGACCCTGCAGAAAACTTGTTTCTTACATTCCTTTCTGAGCACTTCTGGCTGATGCCCTCCTTTATCAAGGTTAAATGGATAAAATAGATGTGAAGATGTTTCTTGGTGAAGAAGATATCTCCAGTTTCCATAGAATGGAGGATAGTATATGACAAAGGAAAGGAAGGCCAGGTGCAGCTTCTTCTAGAGCTGTTACTGCATTCAAAACTCAAACTGTAGCTATGTTATTTTGTTGCAACAATTTAGCCCAATCACCCACAAAAAGGCAACATTCTTCGGTAATCTGTAATTAAATTGCATTTTAAATGCCACCTGTCAGTTTAGTGGACAGTGAGGAGAAGCAGCAGAACAAAAATGTGTTAACATGTAAAAGCTTCCATCTGACTGAATAGTTTGGCACATGCATCTTAATCTAGATATATTACGATGTACCTGGGATTTGTTTTAATTAGGTATGCTGATGCCAACAGATCAGGAGGTGACTGGCATGATGGAAGCAGCTTTTACTCACTGTTCCCTAGAAACAGGAGGCATAACAGCCCCCATGGGGCCACCTGGGAAAGCACCTTCGTAGGTCAGGGGGCAGAAAAAGTCAGGAGAAAGAACAGGCAAAAGACTGTATTGTGAGGCAGGGGAAAGGGCTGGCCAGATTTGGGATTGTCTTGTTTGAGTAATTTTGGAGTGTTCCAGGGTGCATGGGCTACCTGGAGTCGTAATTGTCTGATGCCTGGCCCTGGAATAATCAGGGCAGCGGAAAATGACCTCCTGGAGTGTAAAAACCAGATAGAGGAGGTGGTTCAGAGTATGGCTCTGGATTGGTTGGTTTGTACACCAAAGATGTGCTCACAGGCAAGTTAGGCAAGCCATTTACCATCTCTGAGGGTTAGCTAGTCCTGGGAAGGACAGTCTCTCTGGGATTAGCAAGGCCCCAGAATGTCAAACCACAAAAAAATACAGATAATGAAAAACATCATTAATACAGTAGAATTCAGAATATTTACAGGAAGGGGAAACAGTTGCCTTTCTGGTTTCATGAAGTATCTAATGCAGTGCCATTGATATGTGCTGTAAATATTACTCAGCACATTACTTGCATGTATTTCAGATTAAGGTGAGATTATGCTAAGGATCTCATTTATGGGCTAATGTTTGACGTTTTCTTGGCACACAAAGTCATGCTAATTGGGTGACAGTAACAATGTCCTTTTTGAGATATCTCTACATTTAGACCTGCCTTCTTACAGTTAAGTCAGAGGGTATGATGGTTAATTTTATGTTCTAGTTTGACTGGGCTATGGGGTGCCCAGAAATTTGTTCAAACTGTATTAGGGTGTGTCTGTGAGGGTGCTTCTGGATGAGGTTAACATTTGAATGGGTAGACTGAGCAAAGCAGATTGTCTTCCCCAGTGTGGGTTGGCATCACCCAATCAATTGAAAGCCTGGATAGAACGAAAACACTAACACTCCCATGAATGAGAGGCAATCATCCCTCTCTGCCTGAGTGCCTTGGAGCTGGGACATCAGATGTTCTCCTGCCTTGAGACTCAACTGAAACATGGGTTTCCTGTGTCTTGAGCCATCCTTGAGACTGAAACCATACCACAGGCTCTCCTGGGTCTTCAGCTTGCTGATTGCAGATTTGGGACTCAGCTGCCATAATCTTGTGAGCCAGTTTTCAGGAACGTCCTTCAAGTAACAGGGAAATGATGATGTTTGCTTTGGTTGCCTCCCTTGTTCCTTTCACCTCCTCCAGTTAAATATTGTTTTGACCCTTTATTGGCTGTGGGTGCAGGGAGTTTTCACATATTCCAGGAGGTAGCCAGGTTGTAACTAGCAAGCATTGCTATGTTTGTATTTCTGATGAATTGTCTAAAAGAGATCTCAGAACAAAGGGTCCTGATTCACCAAGGATTCAGGTATTTGTTGTGATTTACTTTCTCATTCAAAATACATATTAAATATTGTATCTAATTTTGTATTTGTAATTTTGGGTTATGAAACCCCAAATTTGAAGCCCCAAATTGTATAGGCGTCAATGCCCGTAAAACCCAGATCTGCCCCTGCTTAGAGGCCTGCCCCTCTAGGAGATAGCATGTGGGGCCACCCAGGGATGCAGGACTCTTCTGTTCTGTGCCATCCCAGCAGAGAGGCCATCCTAAGATCTGGAGCTGGACGGTCCAGACTGGGAATTGCTCCCTCTCTGAATTGCTAGCTCCTTCTAATGCCTGCAAATTGCTGCTGCAAAGGATATTCAGAAAAGTTGCTCTTCAGAAAAAGGATTATTCTAGCTCTGGCCCTGCTGCTGCTGCATTGTGTGAAGCCCTTAAGTGACCTCGCCTCTTGGAACCTCAGTTTCCCCATTTGTAAAGTGACATCAGTGCTTCCAGTGTGGGCTCAGGTTTGGGCCCTGTGAATTGTAAAGCTCTATGCACATGGGAGGCTGTACGATTATAAGTTGTGTTGCTATTACTTGTATTGCTAATATCTTGCTGTTGTTAAAATACGCCCAAACCTTAACATTTCAGTGACTAAAGGGCAAAACCCGTGCCCACTCTGACATACTGTTTTTTGATTTTTCATTCATTAACTCATTTTAACTTTTTATCATGTAAACTTTCATCAAACATGTACAAAAATAGACTGCCACAAGGAATGCTCATATATACCCATCCACTGATTGCAAATTATTGCCAACTCATGGCCCATTTTGTTTCATCTACACCCCTACCCACTTACACCTCCTGAAATATTTTTAAGCAAATTCCAAATCATTTCAACTATAAGAATCTCAGTGCATATTTCTAAAATATAAAGATTCTTAAAAAATAAAATCAGTACTATTATTGTATCTTGCCCTTCTCTGCCAAAAAAACTTAATTTCCTTCTTTTCAGTTTATTTAGTAAGCTAAAATTTAATAACATGGAGGCTGAAGTGGGTAGATTACCTGAGATTAGGAGTTAGAGACCAGCCTGGCTAACATGGTGAAACTCCATCTCTATTATTAAAAATATAAAAATTAGCTGGGTGTTGTGGCAGACACCTGTAATTCCAGCTACTCAGGAGAATGAGGCAGGAGAATCACTTGAACCTGGGAGGTGGAGTTTGCAGTGAGCCGAGATTATGCCATTGCACTACAGCCTGAGTGACAGTGTAAGACTCTGTCTCAAAAACAAAACAAAACAAACATATATTCCCTCTCACCTCCCTCCCTACTCCATGGGATTCAACCAAGCTACTTTAACTTTTTTTTTTTTGTTTTTGAGACAGGGTCTAGCTCTGTCACCCAGGCTGCAGTGCAGTGAGGTAATCTCCACTCACTGTGACCTGCTCCTCCCGGGTTCAAGTGATTCTCCTGCCTCAGCCTCCCTAGTAGCTGGGATTACAGGAGCATACCACCACGCCTGGCTAATTTTTGTATTTTTAGTAGAGATGGGGTTTCGTCCTGTTGACCAGGCTGGTCTCTCACCCCTGAGCTCAAGTGGTGCATCCACCTCAGCCTCCCAGAGTGCTGGGATTACAGGCATGAGGCACTGTGCCCAGCTTGAATTTTATTTTCCTTCAAATTTAAAGTAGCATGGGCCAGGCTCAGTGGCTCAGGCCTATAAATTGCAGCACTTTGGGAGGCCAAAGCTGGCAGATCACTTGAGGTCAGGAGTTTGAGACAGGCCTGGCCAACATGGTGAAACCCTGCCTCTACTGAAAGTTGAAAAATTAACTGGGTGTGATTGTGGGCACCTGTAATCCCAGCTACTCAGGAGAATGAGGCACGAGAATCACTTAAGCCTGGGAGGTGGAGGGTGCAGTAAGCGGAGATCATGCTGCTGCGCTCTAGCCTTGGTGACAGAGCAAGACTGTCTTAAAAATAATACAATAAAATAATTTCTGTTTATAGGCATTTTCCTAAATTATTAGTTTGAATTAAGTTCCATTGCTTAGTCATGTGACCTTAGGTGAGTTGTCTACCTCTACTCAAACCCTCAATTTTGTCATCTGTAAAATGGGGATTCTATTTATAAAGTTATGAGGAGTCTTTGAGACAGCACAAGTACAACTGGTAAACACTCAATAAACGTTAGTTTTTATTGCGGTGATAAGTTTTCCTACCAAATTCTATCTTCTGGATTTGAAACAAGAAAATATTTACGTAAGAGGCATGAATAACTGATGATAGCATTAGGGCTGACTTAATTAAATACTCCCAGAAAGCCCAAGTGGGAGGATCTAGCTGAGGAGGAGGAGTTTTCCAGCAGTCCCTCCACCTGGGCACCAGGTGTAAGCCTGACCTGTACTGTACGTAGTGCTCGCTCGTGTCCTGAGACTGGAAGCTATAGAGATCAGTACTGACATCTCATAGTAAGTAAGCTTGGGCTGGGTCTGGCAGGAGGAACAGGATGGGCGACAAGAGCTGGAGACTCTTTGTTGTCTGTTTTTCTCTTTGATTTTGGAAGTGTTCTGCAAAGGTGATCGGTTAAAGGTTGGCCCTCTGGTTATTGAAACTCAAAGCAGAGTGGGCCCAGCCTACCCTAGGCTTGAGAAAAAACAGTTGGAAGTCAAAGACACACGGTGTCCTCAAAAGCAAAAATAGCTGAAGGGTTGTTGACAACCCTTGGCTTGGTGGATCTTTCATTAAGAACGATCTGAATAATTCTTACTTAGCCAGCAGCTCAGTTTGAACTCTGCCGGGTGCCCTAGCTGCTCTCAAACCACGTCACGTGATGTAAGATTAGCAAGCTTTTGACACAGGCAGACTGTATTGTTTGTCCAGGAAGGGCTGCAGTGGAAAGGTATGAAGTCCCAAAGACTTGTCCAGACTGGGTCTGGAACCAGGGGCCGGTGATGAAAGTAGGGGATGCCCAGTCAGCTGCCTTGTCTTTCAATCCACAGGGCTTTCTTCTCCAGTTAGACTGCAGTCACATCAAAGCATTCATTCCGATCTTTGAAGGAGGCACTCAATCAATCTAGAATTAATAGAGGAATTTTTATCTAACTTAAAAGCATAATATAATATAATTTTAAAATATATTGCATGTGCCATATGGTAAATGAAAGTTAATCTACCTTATTTATTGATTGTCTTTTTCTTTTCTTTTTTTTTTTCTTTTTTTTTTTTTGAGACAGTCTTGTTCTGTTGCCAGACTGGAGTGCAGTGGTGCAATCTTGGCTTACTGCAGTCTCTACCTCCCGGGTTCAAGTGATTGATTCTCCTGCCTCAGCCTCCCAAGTAGCTGGGATTACAGGAAACTGCCACCATGCCCAGCTAATTTTTTTGTGCTTTTAGTACAGACAGGGTTTCACCATGTTGGCCAGGCTTGTCTCAAACTCCTGACCTCAGGTGATCCACCCACTCTGGCCTCCAAAAGTGCTGCGATTACAGGCATGAGCCACCGTGCCTGGCTTCACTTTTTAGAATCACTGGAGTAAGGTGGATGAGAAGGTGGGACACTGGCAATGTTTTTTTTGAGACAGAGTTTTACTCTGTCACCCAGGCGGAGAGCAGTCGCATGACCTTGGCTCACTGCAGCCTCTGCCTTCTGGATTCGAGGTTCTCCTGCCTCAGTCTCCCAAGTAGCTGGGATTACAGGCATGTGCCAACACACCCAACTAATTTTTAATTTTTTATTAGAGATGGGTTTTCACCATGTTGGCCAGGCAGATCTTGAACTCTTGACCAAAAGTGGTCCACCCACCTTGGCCTCCCAAAGTGCTGGGTTACAGGCATGAGCTACTGTGCCCAGACTATTTTTTTTTTTCTCCTTTGTGATGGGGTCTGGCTCTGTCACTCAGGCTGGAATGCAATGGCATGATCTTGGCTCATTGCAACCTCCACTTCCTGGACTGAAACCATCCTCCTACCTCAGCCTCCAGGCTAGCTGGCACTACAGGCAGGTGCCACCACACCTGTCTAATTTCTTTTTTCTTTTTTGAGATGCAGTCTTGCTCTGTCACCTAGACTGGAGTGCAGTGACCCGATCTTGGCTCATTGCAACCTCTGCCTCCTGGGTTCAAGCAATTCTCCTGCCTCAGCCTCCTGAGTAGCTGGAACTACAGGCACATGCTACCATGCCTGGCTAATTTTTTTGTATTTTACTAGAGATGGAGTTTTACCATGTAGCCCAGGCTGGTCTCCAATTCCTGAGTTCAGGCAATCCACCTGCCTCAGCCTCCCAAAATGCTGGGATTACAGGTGTGAGCCACTGTGTCTGGACATTTTTTTTTGTATTTTTGGTTGAGATGGGGTTTCGCCATCTTGGCCATGGCTGGTCTTGAACTCCTGGCCTCAAGCATTCCTCCTGCCTGGGCCTCTCAAAGTATTAGGATTACAGGCATGAGTCACTGTACCCAGCCTGGATTTTTAAGTGTGTTTCATCTTGTAAGAATGTAGCAATGAAGTGTCTGCATTCTCCTGTATAGTTGGTAATTAATAATTCTCCTCCTTCCTTTTCCTTCTCCCTCTCCTTCTCCTCCTCTCCTTCTTCTTCACAGTCTCATTCTGTTGCCCAGGCTGGAATGCAGTGACATGATCTCAGCTCGCTGCCACCTCTGCCTCCTGGGTTCAAGCAATTCTCGTGCCTCAGCCTCCCAAGTAGCTGGGATTACAAGCGTGTGACACCATGCCCTGCTAATTTTTGTATTTTTAGTAGAGAGGGGATTTTGACATCTTGACCTCGCTAGTCTCAAATTCCCGACCTTAAGTGATCTACTTGCCTTGGCCTTCCAAAGCGTTGGGATTACCGGCACGAGCCACTGCGTCCGGCCGGTAGTTAATTCTTATTTCTTAAAAAAGTTATATGTTTCAGGATATCTTTAGAGGAGACCAAGAAATCATATCAGATTTATGCTCCTTGTTGATAGAAGTTTTCAGTTTTCTATTTTTTTCTCTGCTGACTTTAGGTCCAATTTGGTCTTCCTTTTTTTTCTTTTTTTTTTTTTTTTGAGACAAAGTCCCCCTCTGCTGCCCAGGCTGGAGTACAGTGGTTTAATCTTGGCTCACTGCAACCTCTGCCTCCTGGGTTCAAGGGATTCTCATGCCTCAGCTTTCTGAGTAGCTGGGATTGCAGGTGCAGGCCACCATGCTCCCCATGTGCAGCTAATTTTTTTTTTTTTTGTAGTTTTTGTAGAGACCAGATATCACCACATTGGCCAGGCTGGTCTCAAACTCCTGATCTTAAGTAAGGTCCACCTGTCTCAGCCTCCCTAAAGTGCTGGGATTACAGGTGTGAGCCACCATGCCAGGCCCTCCTTTTTTTTTTCTTTGTGCTTTCTGGTTAAGATTGTGTGTGTGGCTGGCTGGGCTCAGTGGCTCACGTCTGTAATCCCAGCATTTTGGGAGGCTAAGGTTGTGGATTACTTGAGGTCAGGAGTTCGAGACCAGTCTGGCCAATACAGTGAAACCCTGTCTCTACTAATAATACAAATTTAGCTGGGTGTGGTGGTGTGCACCTGTAATCCCAGCTACTCAGGAGGCTATGGCAGGAGAATTGCTTGAACCCAGGAGGTGGAGGTTGCAGTGAGCCAAGATTGTGTGGCTGTTGCTGGTTTGCTGCTTACTATATCCACGGCTGACAAAGAGAGGGGAGATGGAGCTGCCACCTTGAAAGTGATTGTCACAACCGCTGGCATCAATGTCTGCAGCTCGATTTCACAGGCTGCTCTTTGTTAGACAGGAAAATGTTTTGGGGCTGGTTTTCATTAAACGAAAAACCTTACCGAGGACTTCTGTACCCTCACTATCTGCCTAAGTAATTTCCTGTTAACTCTTGTATCACTAGGAGGCCAAATAACCTCAGACAGGGCAACTGGAAACCAGAAACTTAGCCAGGGCTCTTCCTAGATTGCTCCCCCTGCCCCTGCCCCATGGGGCTCTTTCTATGGGGTTTGTTCCATGGGGATAGATATAGTGTCAGAACCATGAAAACATGATTTCCCTTTTCTGGAAAGTGAAGTTTTGCTGTGATTCTATCATTCTGTGAACATTCAGAAAGAGAGACAGGAAGTGATACTGGGTGCACACCGTAAAATTTCTTCTTCCTTCCCTAGGAAACAACGATAAATTGCTTGATGATTTCTTCCTCTCTTCAATCTCAAAAAATCTGAGTAATTTTAAAAATTTACAATGTATAGTGTATTAAAGAAAATTTGAGAAATGTATGCAAAAAAAGGAAAAAATCAATTATAATCATATCAAAACCATTGCTAATATTTAGGTATAAGTACCATGAAAAATGGTTTCCCTTTTCTGGGAAGTTGTAGAAAATATATATTATATATGTATTTTTTTTCCCATGTAACATTATCACATAAGCATTGTTTCGTTGCTGTTGAAACACACTGTCCTAAAGATCATAGCGATAGTATAGTGTACTGGTTTAAAGTAGAGGCTCTGACACCATCATACCTGGGTCCAAATCACAGTTCACCACTCATGGGCTGTATAACCTTGAGTCACTTAATTGCTATCCGCCTTAGTTTTACATCTGTTAAATGGTAACTCGCAAGCTAAATGCTTATGTAAAGGACTTAGTGAATGTTTATTATCATCTAAAGGAAGATTTTATAATTAATTTCATTTACTTACTTCGAGACAGGGTCTTTCTTTGTCCTCAGGCTGGAGTACAATGGTGACATTATGGATCACTGCAGACTTGACCTCCCAGGCTCAGGCGATCCTTCCACTTCAGCCTCTAGTAGCTGGGACTACAGGTGTGCACCATCATGCCTGGCTAATTTTTTTTTGATGGGTTTCCTCATGTTGTCCATGCTGGTCTCAAACTCCTGGGCTCAGGTGATCCTCCCATCTCCGCCTCCTAAAGTGCTGGGATTACAGATGTGAGCCACCATGCCAAGCCAGTATCCATAATTAAAATGTTATGTGTATAGTAGAGACTTTTAGAAAATACAGAAAAGCAGAAGAAATCGAAATCACTTGTTATTCTCAAACCCAGAGAAAACCATTTACCAGTGTTAAGATTTTGGCTTTTTTTCAATACATTTTCTCTTACATAGTTGAGAGAATATTGCATTTCTAATTTGTATCCTGGTCACTATGTAAACATTATATATATATATATATATATATATATATATATATATATATATTTTGTTTTTTTTAGACAGAGCCTCACTCTGTCACCCAGGTTAGAGTGCAGTGGCATGATCTTGGCTCACTGCAACCTCTGCCTCCTGGGTTCAAGCAGTTCTCATGCCTCAGCCTCCCTCGTAGCTGGGATTACAGGTGCACACCACCATGCCTGGCTAAAAGTTTTCTATTTTTAGTAGATACAGGGTTTCACCATGTTGACCAGGGTGGTCTTGAACTGCTGACCTCAGGTGATCTGCCTACATTGGCTTCCCAAAGTGCTGGGATTACAGGTAGGAGCCACCATGCCCGGCCTATATATTCTTTATGAACATAATTTTAAAAGACTACATAAATCATCTTGTGTTCCATATTTTAGTTAACCTTTCCCTACTGTTTTGATATTCAGATTGCTCTCTGCCCCGGTGTTAAAGTGGTGACCTGAGCCTTCCCTGGCCTGTGTGGAGCCTGCAGTTTTTTTTCTGTCCCCAGGACATAATTAGCTGTAATCCACAAACCAATTAACAGAGGGGTGACTGGATTATGAATACATTTGTGAGAAACATCTTTGTAAAGGTTTTTCTTCTTCAGTATTAGAGGTTATTTCCTTAGATTATATTCCTGGAAATGGAAATGCAGGGTCAAAGCTAAGTTTCCTCTGCTCGTCTTTTCTATTCCCTATCATTTTTCCCCCTCGCCAAGGCCTTTCCTTCTTTTTCTAGCCCCTTTGCCCTCTCAGCTTTCTTTAATCCCCTTGTGCAGCCTTCCTCTCCTCCAGTCAGAGGTGAAATGATATAATTAAGTCATTTCATTAAGAAGTTAGTAACCTTAGCAGCTAGAAGTGCTAACCCCCAGCTGGACACTTGCATTTTAATAAAGGGTTCTTGGAGCAGTGTTGAACCCAAAGAACTGGACTTGGCGGTAGGATTTGGGGCACTGTTAAACCCAGGGAAGGAGATATCGTGAGTTGGGGCCCCTGAAGTTTTATAAGTGAATGGGGTACTGGACGTCAGGCCAGCTTTGTACGTGGGGTAAAGCAAAGGTCAGTCTCGGAGAAGACTTAATTTCCTCTCTGCCAAAGCACTAACTGCTCAGAGTAGAAACAGGTTTTCTTAAAGGTAAAGTGAGTCCCTTGGAGGAACTATTAAGGAGAAGTTGTTTACTGAGTTGGATGTAATAAAAGACTGGTCAGCAGCATGTGCAGGTTCCTTCTATAAAATATAACTTTATGATACCAGGCAGGGCTCCTTTTATGGCTTTCTAAAATCATCTGGTTGAAATTGCTAGAGATGTGGAGGGCCTTCACCTGCGTGTCTGTAGGTAGTGATTTGATTATATTGTATTTCCCTGGGTGAGCAGAGCCAGGAGGCCTCTGGATGGGGGCTGAGGCCTTGATTGCCTTGGCGGGCACTCTGAGTTGCAGAAAGTGGGTTTCTTGCTAGACAGTTTCTGTTTCAGCAAAGTCTCAGGTGCCTTTTACTGCAAGGAATGTTGCAGGTCTCTATTTGTGGACTTATGCATCAGTTTTAATGGACTGAAAACCCAAAGAAAGCATTGGGGAGTGTGTCTCGGTAGAGAATGGGCTGACAGCTGGATACAACCAGATGGTGCCCTAGATCTTATGGATGGACAAGGATGGGTACAAGCAGATTATTAGGAAGGACTTAAAGAGTTGGGGAGCCTGGTTCAAACAAATTCCTTGATGGCCTGAACGTAGCAGGAAGGGGAGAAATGGAAAGCATAGCCCATTGATAGCTATTGATTGGGTGCTCTCAGGACACCTTGGGACCATAGCCAGTGGGGGAAGTGGTCTTGAGAGAGAATGGGGACCAGCTGGAGGGGCCAGATGCCAGCCTCCCTTCCTCCTGGAAAGGAAACACTTCAGTCACACGATAGTTTCTACCTTGGCACTCACAGCCCTGTCTCTTCCCTTCCAGCCTGATCCTGCCTGAAGATGGTGCCGCTGGTGGCGGTGGTGTCGGGGCCCCGTGCCCAGCTCTTTGCCTGCCTGTTCAGGTTGGGCACTCAGCAGATCGGCCCCCTTCAGCTGCACACAGGGGTCAGCCACGCAGCCAGGAACCATTATGAGGTGCTGGTGCTGGGTGGGGGCAGTGGTGGGATCACCATGGCCGCCCGCATGAAGAGGAAAGTGGGTGCAGAGAAAGTGGCCGTTGTTGAGCCCAGTGAGGTAAGCCTCCCCTTTTGAGTGCCTAGGTGTGTGTGCATGTGTGTGTGTATATGTGTGTGCGCATGTGTGTGTGTGTATGTGTGTGCACCTGTGTGTGTGTGTTCCGGGGTTGGGCATGACTATCAAGCAGTGGGTCTTCATGTGTCAACATTAGTGCTTCTCCTGGGCACAGAAAGCAGCCCATCCAAAAGGACTGGGAAAAGTGGAGGGAAGGAGAGAGGGAGGACAGATCTCTTGGCTGTTAGTGTTCTCCTCTGTATTAGTTTCTTAGGGCTGCCATAACAAATCACTACAAATTGGGTGGCTTAAAACAACAGACATTTATTCCCTCAGAGTTCTGGATACTAGGAGTTTGAAGCCAAGCTATGGGCAAGGCCACGCTCCCTCTGCAGCCTGGGTGAGAGGGATGGACAGGGGAATTTGTCTCATGCGTCTTCCCCAGCTTCTGGTGTTTACCCTGAAATCCTTGCCATTCCCTGGCTTACAGCTGTGCCGCTCCCTTCTCTGCCTTCATCTTCACAGGATGTTCTCTGTGCGCCTCTGTGTCCCTGTGTCCCTGTGTCTTCACACGACCCTCCTGTAAAGCCACCAGTCATTGGGTTTATGGCACACTCTATTCAAGAATGATCTCATCTTAATTCGATTACATTTGCAAAGACCCTATTTCCAAATAAGGTCACATTCCCGTGTACTCAGGTTAGAACGTTAACATCTTTCTCTGAGAGAGACACAGTTCAACCCATGACATTCTCCCGATGCCACCCTCCTGCCCAGAGGAAAATCAATGGCTGCTGCCCTTTCCTCTCTGTTCCCTTCTGTAGAAGGGAGGATGAGCTGTGGAGCCGGGAGACCTCTGAAAAGCTGTCAGTGGGCTTAGAAATTTAAATGCAAGGGCAGATTATAAGGGAGAAAAGGTAACTGGCACTAGGAGGGAACACTGAGTAAGGCACTGTCACAAAAAGCATGTTAAGATTGTCCAAAAGCTTGAGAAAAGTCTTCAAGGGTTGCGGTGGTTTGCCTAATGTTTCACATGGAACTAGGCATGTACCGGTTGGGAGCTGTGTCCTTGGGAGGAAAAAGCAAAGTGGATCAGATGTCTGTTTCAGAGGGAGGACATGACAAAGAAGGCATACTCCTTTCCAAGACTCGTTCCCAGTAGGGGATGATGTCACCCAGGGCTGTGATTTGAGAGGGAACTTGGGGGCAGTCTCTATCATTTTCCTTTTTAAAGTGGCATCTCTTCAATTCAGTAACATCACTTACGTGGCAGTGGTCTGAGAGCTGTATCAGGTGGCCCCTCTTTCCGGTGTATGTTGTATTTTAGCCAATGGATGGGCAGGTCTCCAGTCGGGCTTCTCTTTGTAAGGAGACTGGCTCTTCTGGGAGCTGGGCACAATTTGGTGGCCAAAATCAAGTTCGTCCTGCCCTGTGAGGAAGTGCAGGACAGGAATTTCTGGAAGGAGCTGCCAGAGCCCCAGGCTTGGTACTTTCCCTACTGAGTCTGGTTTAGTGATAGCTGAAGCTGATGTTCATAGTCCAAAAATAAAATCCGAGCTTGTGTTTTTACTCCTCTTACTGTTCAAGATAAATTGGCCAGTGATGAGTTCTTATAACTGGAGACCTCTCCCGCCTCTTGGATCATATTATTGTTTGTAGAGGGATTGCAAAGTCATTCCCGGTGTCCTCTTCACCTCTCTGTGGGTTTTGGCAATGCTGGCCAGCCGCTTTGAGGCATTTTGGCAACATTGAGAGCTCTTGGTCCCCAGTCCACTCTAAGTGGATTGGAATTCTTAGAGGCCATTAAACAAGTCTGCCCTTTGCCCCTATGTCCAGAACTTTCACACTAACTTAGATCAAGAATGGACTATCTGTTGCTGGGCACGGAGGCTCACACCTGTAATCCCAGCACTTTGGGAGGCGAAGGCAGGCAGATTACCTGAAGTCAGGAAGTCAAGACCAATCTAGGCAACATGGTGAAACCCCATCTCTACTAAAAAGGCAAAAATTAGCCAGGTGTGATGGCATAGTTACTTGGGAGGTTGAGGTAAGAGAATCACCTGAATCTAGGAGGTGGAGGTTACAGTGAGCTGAGATCATGCCACTGTACTCCAGCCTGAGTGATAGGGCGAGACTCTGTAGAAAAAAGAATGGAGCATCTGAAGCAAGAAAACTCCAGAAAATAATGAAAGTTTGAGTATGCATTGCATTGTAGAGTAGGATGTGGTACGTATTGTCTTTGGATGTGAAATCTCTGAGTCTCTGAGAAAGTAGAAGAAGGGCTGATCAGTAAACAGCCCTCATTGGGCTTAGGAAAAACAGTTGGAAGTTAATGAAGTTTAGATGATCCCTGGAAGTGGCTGTAAACTTTCCAGACTTACCACTGTCTCCACATGCTCCTGAGGAACCATATTTGGGCTGCCAGGCTTAATTTTTAAAATATTTGTTAACATAAAGTACCCATAATAAATGTATGGATATGCATGTGTATATAACGTACATTTTAAACACCAAGCCAACTTTCAGCAATAAATAATGCAGTGGTCACTAAAGATAATTTATAGCTTTTTCAAAGGTCTTGGAAGAATTTTTGTGTTGAATGACCATCCTTCAGAGCTCCCATAATAGGAGACGTCTAATAGGGGGAGCTAACTTTGTGGAGACTTTTCCATACAATGCTCTATGGGTCAGGAGGGAGCCATTGAGAGAATTTAGCTTATACTGTTAGCTATGACCCTTTCTGATCAGCATCAGATTGCAATAAATCTTCAAATACTTTGTTTTTTAGAGACATTTCTACCAGCCAATCTGGACACTGGTGGGTGCTGGTGCCAAACAACTGTCCTCCTCTGGCCGCCCCACAGCGAGTGTGATTCCATCCGGTGTAGAGTGGATCAAAGCTAGAGTGGTTGAGTTGAACCCAGACAAGAACTGCATTCACACAGACAACGGCAAGGAGGTAACTACTGGGGCCTTGGGATTTTTTGTTAATCTGAGGGCTTGTATTAATATGCAACCATCTTTTTTTTTTTTTCTTAGTGTGTTTTTTTTTTTGAGATGGAGTCTCACTCTGTCACCCAGGCTGGAGTGCAGTGGCGTGATCTTGGTTCACTGCAACCTCCACCTCCCGGGTTCTAGTGATTCTCCTGTCTCAGCCTCCCAAATATCTGGGATTACAGGTGCATGCCACCACACCCGGCTAATTTTTATATTTTTAGTAGAAATCGGGTTTCACGGCCGGGCGTGGTGGCTCAAGCCTGTAATCCCAGCACTTTGGGAGGCCGAGGCGGGTGGATCATGAGGTCAAGAGATAGAGACCATCCTGGTCAACTTGGTGAAACCCCGTCTCTACTAAAAATGCAAAAAATTAGTTGGGCATGGTGGTGTGTGCCTGTAATCCCAGCTGCTCGGGAGGCTGAGGCAGGAGAATTGCCTGAACCCAGGAGGCGGAGGTTGCAGTGAGCCGAGATTGCGCCATTGCACTCCAGCCTGGGTAACAAGAGTGAAACTCCGTCTCAAAAAAAAAAAAAAAAAGAAATAGGGTTTCACTATGTTAGCCAGGCTGGTCTTGAACTCCTGACCTTGTGATCTGCCAACCTTGGCCTCCCAAAGTGCTGGGATTACAGGCGTGAGCCACCACACCTGGCCCAGTATGCAAGCATCTTAAACTGGATAGCCTTGTGTTGAAAGAGCAGTGTATCTATGCATGTGTATGCATGTACGTATGTGTGTTGGATACTGCACAAGATGGCAGGGTATGTGGTAAGTGGAGGATAGATGGAAGGACTGAGTGATGTTGAGTTAATAAATAACTAAGATGAGTATTTGTTAAACACCCACTGTACACCCTATTGCTTAGTGTAGTATCTTTCACCTGAATGTTTATTGTTCATATGTTGCCACATGTTACAATAGCAAGCACTTTCCTCTTTCTATTTTTTTGAAGCAACCGGATTTTCTCTTGACACCTAGCCTCCCAGAGCAATAGGATGCTGGAAAAATATCTATCCATCCACCCTAGGGGGCGCTCTGCCAGAGCTGTAGGGAAATCCTGGGACTCTGAGGTTCATGCCAGCGTTAGGGAGAATTGTTTCCAAAGCTTGAGGCTCACAACTGCTCAGCACCTTTAAGAAGTCTCCCACCCTCACCTCTCAGGGGTCAAAGTTTTTCAGCAGCTGCTGCCCCACGTTTGAATGAGGTGATAGGAGCAGGATAGTGGAAGAGCTGCTCAAAAGCCATCTGCAACTTCCTTTCCCTTACCTGCTGCTGAGCCCAGGACAGGGGCAGGCAGGGCAGCGATGGTGTTCTGACCTGTTCCAGGCTCCTGTGGTTTTTGGGCTCCCAGGGTGTTATTGGTCTTAATCCTCTGTGCCTTCTCCCTTCAATTGGTGACTCTGGCATTTTCACGGAATTGTAAAATCAGAGTTGGTGAGGATCTAAAACGTTTTCAAGTTCGAACCTTCCCTCCGATGGAGATTCATCTGCTGAGGCATTCTCTTTTTTTGAGACAGAGTCTCACTTTGTCACCCAGACTGAAGTGCAGTGGCTCAATCTCGTCTCACTGCAACCTCCACCTGCTAAGTTCAAGCTATTCTCCCACTTCTGCCTTTCCAGTGGCTGGGACTACAGGTGCACGTAGCCATGCCTGGATAATTTTTGTATTTTTTGGTAGAGATGAGTTTTTACCATGTTGGCCCGGCTGGCTTGAACTCCTGATGTCAAGTGATCCCCCTGCCTCAGTCTCCCAAAATGTTAGGATTATAGGAGTGAGTCATCACGCCTGGCCTGCTGAGGCATTCTTAAGCTTTTTTTTGGATCACAGATCTTTCT